CTCCCGGAAGCTCCCAAAGCTTCGTGACCCCATTACAACCATGGTCAACAAGACCCCTCCCCAGCCTGGACCCTGAGCTGCCATCCACGTCACCCGCGGCGCCATCTATCGCCTGGAAGATCCGCTTATCTTCACCGGCTCCGCTGACTCGGATGTGAATGACTGGCTATCGAAGTACGAGCATACCGGAGCCGGTCACAAGTGGGATGACGAAATGAAGCTAGGGTACGTCAAGTTTTATCTTACAGACATCGCTCAATTATGCTACAACAAACACGTGAACGACCTTCCTACTTGGTCTGTCTTCAAGGCTTCCGTTACGGACGTCTTCTGTTGACCATCGGCTAACAAACTTCGGGCAGAGTAGCGCTGGCGTCAACGGGCGCAGCTTCCCGGCGAAAACTTCACAAGCTACATTGAAGATGTGCTAAAGCTGTGCAATTCTGTCATCTCAACTATGACCGAAGAGGAAAAAATTAAGCACATTCTCAAAGGCATCGAGTACGACGATTTTGGGATGCTACTCGCCTGCCATTTGCACTTACGACTGCCATTTGCAGTACTCTACGTCAAATCTGGTGCGACGATGATGCTCATTGCCAACTGACTCACGTCTGCCTTGACATTGCTTCGAGGGGAATCTCTGGGGCGCATATAAGGCGCCGACCTCCCGAGTTCTCTGGACATCGCTGAAGACGAACCCTACCTTCAGGTCACCTGTTATGATGTCTTCAGCGCTAGATAAGTTTTGTCTTTCGGTTGCCGACACCCTACCACCATCGTATCGCATCGAGTTTCTCGCTTTCCTGCACGACTTCCGCTCATCTTTCGATGGCGTCCGGCCAACCCTGAGCCACACGAAGAGTGTCACTGATCACGTCAGCCCGGTTCCCATGCTCCATTACGCCAATGACCCTATCACGTTTCCGCGGCGTAGTGCAAGATTATTAATGAAAAGTAGCCGACATGCTTCAGCGCGAAGTGATTCAGCTGTCCCAAAGCCCCTGGTCCTCTCATGTGGTCCTTGTGCGCAAGAAGAATGGAACCATAAAACTCTGTGTCCACTGTTACCACCTTAATGAGATAACCTGGAAAGATGTGTACCTGCTCAAGTGCGCGATGATGCTCTCGACTGCTTACAAGGCGCAGAATATTTATCATCCCTAGATTTACGCTCGGGGTACTGGCAAGTAACGATGGCTGGCACTCATTGTTCGAAGACCGCTTTCGTTTCGCCTGATGAACTCTACAAGATTAACGTCATACCATTCAGATTGTGCAACGCCCCAGCTACATTCGAACGGATGATGGACAACGTCCTTCGCGTCTACGAGTGGAGCACTTCCTTTTGCTACCTGGACAACATTGTAGTCTTTTCTACGGATTTTTAAACTCACCTTGTCTGCCTTCGGGAGACTCTGACGTGCCTCAGCTCAGCTGGTCTGCAACTCAACATAAAAAAGTGTCAGTTTTGTGGCACGCCAGTTGCCAATACTGGGTCACGTCGTTTGTAAAGAAGGCGTTCTGCCAGACCCAGCGAAACTCCGTGCCGTGGCCGAATTCCTAAAGCCCACTTGCATGAAGTACGACCAAGTTTCATTGGGCTGTGTTTTTATTTTGAACGATTCGTGCGCGACTTCACTTCCATCACCACCCGTCTCACCAACCTTCTAACAGCCTCCTACACCCTGTCCGCTTAGTCGCGAAAGTGCAAAACATCTTTTGGGACGCTTGAGCACTTACTAACGTCAGCTTCGATACTCAGAAACTTTGACCCAGATGTGCCCACGGATATGCATACTGACGCCCTGTTGGCTAAAAAAAAGCCGGGATAAAAAGAGTACGGCGTCGCTTACGCGACTCTGAAGAAAGACGACTACAATTACTCTGTCACGGAAAAAGAATACCTCGCCGTAATTTGGGCTTTGGCTGAGTTCCGTCTGTACCTTTATGGCCGTCCTTTCGACGTCGTCACGGATCACCACGTTGTGTTGGCTCTAGTTGCTGAAAGATCCATCGGGTCGTCTCGGTCGCTGGGTGCTGAGGCTACAAGTTTACGACGTTTGTGTTGTGTACCAATCAGGACACGAGTACTTTGAAGCGTACGCTCTTTCCCGCTCACCTCTAGCATCCGCCACGGTTTCACTGTTCGTTTCCGTCTCGCCATTCGACGTCACATGTCGGTGGAGCAACGGAAGGATACCTGGGTTTCCCACCTGCTCGACTCTATGGCAGATTCATCACTTTACCCCGCTTCCAAAGCTCAACGTCGTCAAGCGCCACTTTTCGCCACTATAAATGGTCTTCTCTATTGACGGAATGACACATTCGATGGCCGGAGGTGGCTGCTTGTGATACCTCGCTACATACGCATGCAAATGTGTGCTGCTTTCCGTGCTGATCCACAAAGCGTTCACGCTGGCTTTCTCATGACCTACACCCGCTTGCGTAAGAGGTACAATTGGCGTGGAATGTATTCGCATGTGTGCAAGTATATCCGCGCTTGTACTGCCTGTCAGCGACAAATGGCTCCTCCTCAAACAGCCGCCGGTACGCTTCAACCTCTCCTATGTCCGGCGCGTCCATTTGACCGCGTCGGCGTTGATTTGTACGGCCCGCTTCCCTCAGCCACTTCTGGGAATAGATGGATCTTCGTTGGTGTAAATAACCTTACGCGTTATGGAGAAACGGCAGCTTTGCCCACAGCAACAGCCAGAAAGGTTGCGTTTTTCATCCTATGCAGCTTCGTCCTGCGCCATGGTGCACCCCGTGAGCTTGTAAGCGACAGAGCACGTGTTTTTCTGTCTCAAGCCGTCGAAGCATTGCTCGTTCAGTGTAACATCGTTCCCCGCAAGACCAGCGCATATCATCCGCAAACCAATGGCGCAACCGAACTATTTACCCGCACTCCCAGTGATATGCCGGCGATGTACACTGCATCCGACCAAGCAATCTGGGATGCCATCCTTCCTTTCGTCACATTTGCGTAACACTGCAACGCAAGTGACTACGGGATTTTCACCGTTCCTTCTTTTATACGGACGCGAACTATCATGCATGCTTGACACCATGCATCCTTACGCACCTGACGCCTGCGAGTACATTCCAATTTCCGACGTTGCCAGGTACGCAGATTGTCGACAGGTGGCTCGTTCCTTTACGAGCAAGTACCAAGTTCGCCAGAAGGTTAAGCGTGATGACGACCGACCTCATGCTACTTTCCGAGTGGGTGCCCTAGTTTGGCACTGGGACCCACCGAATATTCCTGGCCTGCCTTCTAAGATATTGACCTGCTATCACAGCCTCTACTGCGTTTTTGGTCGGACTTCTACCGTCAATTACGAGGTTGCGCCCATGACATCATCTGACGACTTGCGTCGTCGCTGCCCAGAATTCGTCCACGTCTCTCGCATCAAGCCCTAGTATTACCCGGCTATACTACCAACGCTTTAAGGCGCCAGGATGGCTTCTCTATTCCCCGGGGGTGAATGTAGTGAAGGAAAGACGATGACGAAAGACACGAGCAAGCAAGCAAGCCGCAGCGTCAGTAGCAGCACCAGACTCGAGTTCGCGCTTGGCCGGATTTTGGCTGCTTGACGCTCGCTGCTCCTCGACGCTCCACGGTTAACGTTTGTCGAGCTTTCCTGACGTCCAGCGTAAATGAATCTTCTCAGACCTAAAATAAATTGAACGTTTTTGGAAAGGTGCCATGCCGTAAACCTGTCTTCATGTACATCGTTCATTTTCTAATCACGATGGGATAGTTAGTGACTTTATTGACTCATAACACACCCCCTTCGGGGAGATGAGCCAAGAGAGCCGACTTGAGAGTTCAGATGCTGTTGCACACGAATGGCTTCTGCTCCGTATTCGCATCGACGGATGCAATTGTTTGCATCGACCAACATTGACCTCACCCATGAAGGTCGCTGCCTTTAGTCTTATCGTCTATCGCTGGGCGAACGCAATCGTGCGGCTACTGCACAGCTTCGAAAACATCAAAAATATTGTCCTAATGACGGCGAGTGACTCTTCCGTGGAAAGAGATGTTCATGCACTGCTTGGACATGTGTTTCGTTATCGCCCTTAGTTTTTCACTAAGTCATTTGCTCGACGTGTCCACAGTAGAACACAAGAGTCCTTGGCAGAGGTTCAGGCATTCGCGGTATACATTGCAGGGCTGATCACAATGGTAGGTAAGCTCTCATTTGTCTGCCTGGTGTGAACCACACGTAAGGTCTTTCCATTAAGAACACCATACGAATCCGAAATCCATATTTTGATGGACACTCACGGTCAAGAACGCTAAATTAACACCCAGTATGAACTGTAGGCTAAAATTTTCGTAAATGTGTCTAATGCGCACTCTATTTGTGGTAATGATTTATTCTGTGACATTATGAGCTGAAACGCCAGTACAAAGCTAAATGAATGCACAAGGATGAATTGCAGTTCACCGCGATTTTGAAGATGAAGTGGGTGATTGAATACTGTGGGAAAAGTAATGATAAAATTAATGTGTGCCCATACTTTACTGCCCCCGATAGTCGAATAATACAATCCTGCAGTTCAGCGCTACAGCTCATGATCAAGTGGCGCTTACCTGACATTCCCTTTGCAAATTAATTTTTGTCCGCTTATTACTAGGTGTGCTTCAAGAATACGTACGCACAGGCATTCGCTATTTGGTTATGTAGGACTTACAGGAGCTGCTTCTAATGCAACAGCAATGCTCTAAAAGGTTTATCTTCAAGAGTTTGTAAAGCTACATATACATCTACAATTATGTCGGCGGTACGCCAACGGATACAGCCAACTAAAGAATCAATACGACTTCGTAAAACCATGGAAAACAGAAAATCAATGTTTGGCAATAAAAAGTGCACTTTGATAAATAAACAGTGTAGACGACGAGTGCCAGCAAAACGGTAGTGATTCCAGACTTATTTATTGGCATAAACCCATATGAACTCCCTTTTTTATAGATATATGACTGTTTTCGGATAGTAAAACTGAAGCTGACGTGCTGATGGTCATGCTGGTGCCACTGACGCCGTTGCGGATAGCGCAAGTGCTGCTGATGATCTAGTGGACTGCAACTCTTTTTCATTTTGACCTTTCTCAGCGAATTCAATAAACAACTGCTCCAAGGTTGTATCCGAAGCAAGAACTCCCTCGAAAGCGAAGTCCTTGTCCAATGATTCAATGTTGTTGAATAGAACACTCCAAGGAAGCCTCTCACGAGTCCGGATTTCAATTTTTTCCTGCGAAGGGAAAAGGATTACCGGGAACAAGGCACTCAGTAAAGCTGAATTATAGTAAATATTATTTACATTAAAAACATGCAGTGTAGTTAGGGAAAAGTTCTGTCGATGTATGAACTTGTTCTTAAACAACAATGCTAAGCAGTAGTCATAATCATCCTCACCGATACTAAATGTAATCCGATAATAATCGCCCCAATAACAATGGTGACTGTAGACTAAACACTGACACAGTGTTCAAAAATGTGCTCTTTTTGCGTACTACCACTGAAACTGAATAGCACTTTGATGCAGCCTAATGATATGCAAGCAAAGAGAGGAAACAGTTGATAAATGTTCATGCGCAAAGTAATAACTGTACCATGCACATTAGGGAACGCCCTTGGGCCCACTTTGACACTACGCGCGCTCCAATATTTTTATGCGTCAAGTGCTGTAGGAAAAATCCTGTGCAATACAACATTGTCACCATAAATTTCACTACCACCTGGCAAGAATAGGAGGAGAGTTGTTAGATGTACTCGTGTTGCCACGCCTACAGTACACATTCATCTCTAAGCATTCACCAGTGACAGTGACTCTATTGTGCTTGCTTTGCAAGGAACGAAAAAATGGCAGGTCATATTTGAACGTGCTGGAAAGTCTGCTCACCTATAATGCAAGATGATTTCGAGGAGTACTCATAAGCCAGTATATGTTAAACAACTTTTGGGAGGATTACCATCCATTCAATAAACGTTATACCGACATAATTGTTATGTATATTTTATTTATGAGTGCACGAAAATACGAGAACATGTGCGGCTATCGAAAAATTGGCCCCGTATCTGCATGTTAATATGCAAATGTCGTCGAAAGACAATTGTCTTGCGTGTGGAGAGAGTGAACAAAACATTTATTTGATGTTCTGCGCAAGAAAATCAGTGAATGGTATTGGGGACGCGCTGTGTTCTAGTGCCCCGAGCGGGCAGCGGAGGCGAACGAGCACATCAAGTCAAGTCACGTCACACGTAAGAGATGAGCGCTGTCTGGCAGGTTTCTTGGAAAATGAAGTGCGTGGCTCTGAGACGGGCGTGCGCGCCCGTTCCAGAGGTGATAAGATGTAGAACGCAAGGCGACGGGTAGGTGCCACCACCGTGTCGTCTCAGCAAAGCGTTGGAAACACTCGACTTTTCGTGCAAGCGTTGCATGGTCAGCGCAGCGTGATTCTTAGGATCATAGCGTGATAAACGCTATGGTCCTAAGAATTAATTATGCATGCCTCTTCGAGTAAAAGACGCACATACAGAATATATACGGGTTGTTATAGTGCCTCGGATATGCGCAATAACTGCTTCCTAATTGAAAATTGCACAAGTATGAAAGCTGAATCTTTAGCAACCTTGGTGGGCGCTGCGGATGGGGTCGGCCGTTTGGGGTTTCCGGTGGTGCTGTTCAGAGTACCCAGAACCATTATGGGTGGACAGACAGACAGACAGACAGACAGACAGACAGACAGACAGACAGACAGACAGACAGACAGACAGACAGACAGACAGACAGACAGACAGACAGACAGACAGACAGACAGACAGACAGACAGATCATAATTTTCGCGTTGAAGGTACCCAAGAAAGACTATCGTCTTTAAAAACAATGCATCAGTCCACAGTTGTTGCCTCGATTAAGACAGCACAGCATATCAGAACGTCGCCTTCAGGGACAACACCTTGTAATCAGTAAATCGGCACGGGGAACGTGCAAACTATGCAATGAGGTGATGGTACGCAGACGTGCCACATTCATGTACGGGATTGCCAGAAAAAAAAAAAAACGTGGTGCGTGACTCGAGCTGTGGTAGGAAACCCTACAGGGTGAGGTGGCACTATCCTGTGGAGCGCCGCACGAAGAAGGTGGAAGAAAACAGCGTAGCTCTCGCGGCGAAGGTGCCTGGAACACGGCTCTGAAGGTAGCGGTGCGAATGTTGCGGAAAGCTACCGTATAGATATTGGTAGACACCAAGAGACGCTCCCCAGACCCCCAGTACTTTGCAGAAGCGGTACCCCGGACACCTGCCACTCTTCACCTTCTTAAAAGAACGGCTGCCACCCATTTGATAGTCCTTGGAGTAGGATGCCCGCGGTTAGGCATAACCTGTCAAGGCTCTCGATGACCGGGTGACCAGACCGAAACAAGTAGCTTACACAATGGAAGACGGCCAACTACAACCGAATCACCTCTACAATGAATACGATGACTTGACACTTCTTTGTAAGTGCATTTGGTCATCATGAAAAATAAGACGTTCACTACGCACACGATGTATAGGAGAGTAGCCCTACAGATTGGTTGAAAGCCTAGGTCTAGAGTTGGCTCTCAATCAGTTTGTAATTAGTTTCGGTTTCGTTTCGCGGTATAGCCTAGTTTGTTTGTGTGCTTGTTTGTTTGCGTTATTTAAGCGTTTCCGCCTCTTTGTTTTGCGTGATAAAGCTTATTTGTCTTGGCTCAATGGTCTCCCACCTCGCTCAATTACATGCTTTCAAGCGCTCCCACGATAATCGTTACATTAATTGGCAATCCTTTGCCAGAATTGTGTAACGAGTTGCAAGGGCAGATTGTGAAAAGTACCTGGTCGTCGAAGTCGAAGTACCTGGCCATGGCTTGGTACTTCAACGTAAGCTAGCAGGAGACTTTGAGGTTTTTTGAGAATGCAGGACGAATCAAACAAGACAGAGCTCGTGAACAGCATCAACGTGAGAAAGATATAATTGAACTTATGTTGAGATTGGCGGAAGTAAAGGCTACCGCACGCAACGACGGTAGTAGCACGAGTACTCCTACGATGGCGGCGGCAAACTTCTCTATTCTAAGACCACAGATAACTTCCCAAAAAGCCTCATATAGCCCTTCGACTTGGATGCTCGTCTGCATTGCTTTGAAGATATTGTGACCGGGAAAAGCTGGGAAAGGAGCAAGTGGGCCAATGTTATCACTGTTTCTCTCGTGGTAGAGGAATTGAGCGTATTCGGCTGCATGCCGGCCAAGAAATCACTCAATTACTACCTTGTGAAAAAATTTTAATTCAAGTGATTCTGGCTAACTACCGAAAGGTAAGCGAGAAGTTCTAATCGGTAAGCCTGAAAACTCCGGTACTGGTAAACAGTTTGTGTGCCTCTGATAGGTAGATAGAGTTAAGGTGGGACAGTGTCCACGATAAGATAATGGGTGACCTCTTTCTTGATAGTTGAAGCAGCAAGCTCGTTCTATGTTTAGAACAGGATGAAATGGCAAGGCAGGCTGACCAGTTCATGGAAGCCTGCCAGCTCAAGTGTTCAAGAACTAAGACAAACGAGGCAGCGACCTCTTTTAGAAAAGAGAGCGCACATGTGAGACTTCAAGGAGTAAGGGTAGGGAACAACAGCGACACTTTTTATGCAGTCGACTGGGGCATTTAAACATAAAGGCCGAACTAAAAGTAGGCTACAGGAACCCCTAGCAATCTGCCAGTTATGCCGAAAAAATGGAGCACGAAGCTAGCGAATGCACGAATTCACTCCTAGATAACACAGCACGTGCGGTCAAGTCCGAAGAAAAGGCTGACATTGTTACCACTGTGAGAGATATGTCGAAAGGTGGTAAAGTGCCAGTACTATACGGTAAAGGCAAACGAGTAGTCATGTTAAGAGACTCCGGTGCAGATGCGGTTTTGGTGAGGGGGGTTTGTGAATGGGAGAAACATACAGGTAAAAAAAGGGAGAGTAATCTTTCCAGATGGTTCAATTATGTGATAACCAGAAACCAAGATAAGGATAGATACACCCTATTTTGTAAAAGGCATCATGACCCAGTGTATGGAAGATCGTTTATAGGACGTTATCTTGGGAAATAGGCCGAGTGTGCGAAGGGTTGATGTCCCAGTGTGGAGGGGTATCTATGCCAAGCAAGTAGAAAAGTGCAAAAAAAGGGCTAGGCAAAAAAGAAGGTCCGGTCATTAAGGAGATAGCCAAAGTAGTGGTAGCAGTCAAGGGCGAATTGTGAATAGAGTGCTAATTCTTCATCGTTTAGAGGTATCATGGCTGGAGCTCGCAAAAAAAAAAACAGAGGAACAATCAAACACTGAAATATATAGGAAACAAGATTAGGTGTAAACCAAGAAGACGAGAGTTTGGCGATGGAATATTCTATGAATTGGGCGCGAATTGGATATTCCGCGAGTTTTGGGGAAATGGAACTGTGTTAAGACGGGTGATACCATTCTAGAATGTCACTATGGAAAGGGGTGTATAGATCCTAAGTGCATATGCAGAGAAGTGATGAGAGGGGTTTTTGCCGGGAATACCAAAAGAGATAAAGCAGTTTCTAATATGGTATTGCGCAGAAACATGCTTGTGCAGGGTCATCATTTTGTGAAGTAGTGTAGAGATGATGGGGCAGTGTATACTCGACAATGAATCATGCTAACAGTGTGAGTTTACTTTTGAGGTGTTCGTGCAGTAAATTGAATTCCGTAATGGTGTTGTGGTGGGACTAGTAAAAGCGTGTGGTGATGGAAGGTGATACGCACTCGTCACGGTGGTCTACTGGCTAAGCCACTTGGCTGCTGACGCGAAGGTTACGATATTGTGTCCCGGCTGCAGCGGCCGCATTTTCTGTAGAGGCAAAAGTGCCTTGGGCTCGTGTGCTTGGATTCAGGCTGATGTTAAAGAACCGCAGGTGGTCGACATTTATGGAGTCCTCCACATCGGCATCTCTCATTATCAATATTGTGTTTTCGGTACGTTAAACCCCAACAATTATTATTAAAGCTATACACAAGCCCGCGCGCTAGTGGTTACAAGTGGTGTCACAAGCAGAAAACCAGAAGGCTGCAACCTGAGCAAGAGCCGAGCAGGTTTTCGCGAAAGAAAAATACACTCTTAGAAAGATGGCCAATGAAAAAGCGGATCAATGTCACGAAAAAAAGGGCATGAGGCCCATGCCAAATAGTACAATGCGACGGTGGCATGTGAGGCGCAGGAGGTTTTTTGACAGCTGTGTAGTAAGTGTTGTAATACTACTGTGGACGACTCTACGACGCCAGACAAAGCTAGCCCCTGAGGAGCATCAGGCATGAAGCTATCCGTGTCATTGCTTATCAGCCGCATCTATCAACGTAGTTCGCTCGGCCGCCGCGCCTAGATTTGCCGCCACGCAAGTAGAGTGTGAGCGCACGCTTTTGCTGGGCGTGACACAGCCAGCTTTCATACGTTAGCTGTAATGCAGGAGACTATACATTCTTGCAAGGTCTTTGCCAGGCTGTGGTGTGACTTTATCTACGCCAAGGAAACACGCGAGGAATACCACGTTAAGCATAGACAATCTACTATCAGCGCTTTTTCCTAAGCTTCACATTATTCTTGTTAACCTATCACTCTTTTTCTCGTAATAGTCAATTATTACGCAATTAGAAGCAGAGCTGTTTCCTGTGCTAGCAGGTAGATTGTTTGCGCCTCGTATCTTCCTCTCTTCTCCATCCGCTTTGTGAGATGAAGTGCAGTGGCGGTCGAACCATGGCAAGAAGATGAAAGACGTCATGCCGATTCAGCCAGAATATGTGTTTTTCGTACACCTGCCTTCTATAACGAGACTGAGCACTGAAAGAAGAACCCATGAAAAAAAAATCACAGCATATCCACGAAGTGAATGATTATGAATGGGGCGAAGGGTCGGAGGGTTTTATCAGTAAACCAAAAATCGTCCATCCGTCCGTTCATGCATCTGTCTGTCTGTCTGTCTGTCTGTCTGTCTGTCTGTCTGTCTGTCTGTCTGTCTGTAAGTCCGCATCTGCTCAGGGAGTCATCGATCTATAGGCGGTCACAAACTACGACGAGCTATGAGGGACAGAGCCACGGCTTTAGGAGCTTCGCTCTTAAAAAAATGCTTGAACTGTGTCGTAGGGCCCCTTAAGCATAGCGAACCAGGCTCAGGACCAGCAAGCATAAGCGATAGCCGCTAGGAGAGTGGTGGAATTGCCACTCGCTCATCGAGGGCAGAGAAAGAAATGTCATACTTCTTCTGATCCCCTTCTGTATCAAGCATACGATAAATTGCTGACATCTAGGGTTTGTTTACATATAAGACCTCATTTCACAACCGTCATACCACTCATCGCGCATTGATCATCAGCATAAGGTTGCCATTCCGTTTTGCCGCACCAAATTCTTTTCAGCAGCCTTCTTACTGAAAACAGCCGCCGATTGGAACCACCTTCCCTCTTCCGTTGTATCAATAACAGACCCTTTGTTATTCAAGACTGCAATTTCTCAGCAATGCTTGTAACTATACGCAGTTTCCATTATCTATCTTTGTCTTGTATGTGCTTGAATTCTTATACATTTTTAGTTGACTTATGTTGCCTTCCTGATTTGCGCATCTGATACTTGTTTCTTTATTTTGTCTTTTTTCTTGTGTGTTATATATGTTGTACCCACCCCCTCTGTAATGCCCTACGGGCCCTGAGGGTATTCGAATAAATAAATAAATAAATAAATAAATAAATAAATAAATAAATAAATAAATAAATAAACTGCACTTCAAACCTCATTTTTTTAGCTCTATCTGCAGTGAAGCTACGGGCAATTTGCGTTCAATAAGTGTCTTGAGGAATGATAAGTAAGCGTTGGGTCTTACAAGTAAAGTAATTCTAGGCCCAGCACTGCGGCGCTATAATAGATGCAGAAAATAGCGAATGCCACATCCTACGTTTGACATTGGGTCGAAAAATGGGTGTTCGCTTCAACACTGATTTTGTCCACAGAATATACGAGGTATTTCAGGTGCGAGCTCATCTGCTCCTCTAACTTTAGGCTCCCCCGGCGGGGTGAACTAGCCGTTGCACGCCCGTAGACAGTCGTGAAAAATATAGCCCCCCTTCCACCCTCTCACTCTCAAAACATTTTATGGTAGAGGTGTTTTATTGAACAATAATGAAAAAAAGCTGTTGTGATTTAACAGTCGAAAGCTTCAGCAAATGCTCCTCCTCACCGCGATATATTCTTGGCAATGAGCCTCAGTGGTTACAGTGCTCGACTGCCGACTCAAATGTCGCGGGACCGAATACGAGCCGTGGTGGTCACATTTCCAAGGAAGGCGAAATGCTAGACAGTCCTGCACTTTGACATGCAGCAAACGTAAATATTGCGAAAGCTTGCAAAGACCGCAATCATGGAGCCGTTCGTCATGATGTCATGCTTCCGGGAAGTAAAACAGTAATTATTGTCATTTTTCAACCTGTGACGCGTAAAGGCAGTCTACAATGCTCGAATCGAGGGACGGTACATGAGCTCTCTAGTTCCACAAAAGGCTTAACAGAGATATATGAGCACTTACTTCGGCGAGATTCAATACCGTCATGCCGGGAAATACCTTGTCCACAGCCTTCAATATTTCCTGCAATGGGATGTTTGCGTTGTCACGAAGCAAGAATTTGATACTGCAGCCTTTGCCAAACTTGTCCTTGAGGTGCTGTAGCGTTCCCAAGCAGACCATTGTACCTTGAACCATTATACATATCCGGTCACAAGCCACCTCACATTCTTCCATGCTGCGAAGAAATTTGTTGTGCGTGGTAAAGAGGTGACAGGAGGTGCACATGCTATGTATGCTTTTAGTTTTAACATATTTCCACACGAACGCTGCGAACATCATGTGTTCTCTTTGCAGATGATGCGACTAAAGAAAAATATTTTGGCTGCTGTTAAACTTGTACTCAGCTCAATATTTCTGAAAAGTTTTAAGTAGCAGCCTGTTCTGAGCTGAAAATCAGTTTATAAGTAAAAGTTGAAGTTCACCGTCATTATTCTTTTGTTCATTTCCTGGAATATAAAATAATTCATGCTGTTCGAGGAAATCGCCACAAAATATGAAGGTAACAAGGAAATTGGAGTTGTAGCGAGTGCAGTAATAAGTGCAGTTTTCTTACGTCACACCGACAAACGCCGACAAAGTAGCTAGTTTGAGTGAAGGTGGGGTGTACTATGATCAGCTTAGAAAAAAAAATGGGAATGAATCTGTAGTTCATTACTGAACGACTTAGTTGTTGCTTGAATTGTGTGGTCTTTTTACGAGTTGTAACAAAAGCACAAAGCATTCTTTCGATGTTTTCGCCCTATACAAGAAGTAGCGTATTTATGCGTGCTACTGCTATTTGCGTCTAAATAACGTGTTTCTTACACGCAACACAAAGCAAACAGGCAGGCATAAATAGCACAAGCAAAGAAGTCAAGTGCGCTAGCAAAGCAGGAAAGTGTGCGTTTGTGTGATTGCATTTTGTTTCGGTAACGCCTTCATTAAATTTGGACAAATATTTTAAAAGGTGCTTTGACTTGATGTGTAAAAAAACGGTAAATTTAGCTGCTGATACTCAATGAGGAACTTCTCAAAGAGAATGCTGCTTCACTACTTCTAAATCGTATTAAGGTGCCCCCTTTTCTAATGCTTGACACTCGAAGCTTTCATAGATGCATAAGTCAGAGGATAATCAAGAATCTGGAAATGAGTCAAATGAAGCTAATTAGAGCAGCTCCAAACAAACGTAGCCTTTTTTCAGATTATCCGTGAGAGTACCGGTGATTCAAAGTAATGGCATTTTTTTTCTGAATTTTGATTAAATCCATAATTAGGTTAGTCAGCGCAGTTATTTTGATGTGCACTGGAAAAATACAAACTTGCCCAATAATCTTCGATTTGTCTGGCGATCCACCCGCTGTTTCTAAATAATGTCTGGATATATTTAAACTCCAGTACTCTATCTACATTTCTGTTTTCACTGACTGTGCTGCGCAAAAACCTCCCTCATAGACTACACTTTGCAAAGCTCTTGTTGTGTACTGGAAATGTTTTGCACTGTACAGCAAGGCATAAAATTGACGCTTTCCACGACAACTTTTCATGAAAAGCTGCAGCTGATATGAAGCGTCTACTCAGAAATAAATGTTGTAAGCAATGGTAAAGTAGAGTCAATAAGTTACAAATAAAAAGCCCATCACGCAGTTTTTGTTAAAAAAAATCCAGCATATTTATTGTGGTCATGAAAACTCGTGAGACAGCTAAACGAAAATTTAGTGTCATTGAATTTCTTCTTGTTACTACTTCTAGTAAAAAAATGAAATGGTTCAGAAATCTGCCGCATAGAAATTATTTATTGGTGCACGTTCAGTATTTGCAAGAAAACGCAAAATTTAGCAACGTTAAGCAATGGTAAGTACCTTAACATCGCAAAAGGCCAGTTACCTCAGGAAATCATTGAAATCAATTCTGCATCCCCTACAATGTATTTTATAATAGCCGGAATTTGTGAAAGAAAATTGTCCTATGTGTGACTGTCAGTTTGCATCCATTTATGCATGCAAAGGGTTTCTAATTAGTCGTCGAGCTTGAGAGCGAACTGTAGTGGTTCTCTGAGTGGAAAATCCACGAATCTACATGAAGTGAAGAACAAAATTAAGTGAAGTAGGCCCGAAGGTTCATTAGGTGTACGTTGAAGCCGACGACTAGTATATAAGAATTGTGCTTGTAGGTGTTATGTTTTGCCCAGTCATACTTGTGATTGACATAAGTCTATTGTGAAACCTGCTTTTGTGTTTCACAAATGTTACCCGAGTCTTGCTTTGTAGATTGTAGATTAATTGACATGATGTGACATACAGTATCGAAAAGAAAACTTGGTCCGAAGGCCTATAATATCTGCTTAGAGGTCACCTACTATTGTAGAGGGTTTGTGATTGTAGATAATTTATACTGTTTTGTCACAATTAGGATTGTTATACCTCTGGTGAAAATGTTTCTTCACATAAATATCTTTCTATTGTTTTTTCTAACTACCATGACAGCGGACAGTGAACGTCAGCGACTAAGCAAACCCTAAGATCCATAACGTATGAGTTGAAGTTGCCCACTGGTATGAAGAGTTTGTGCTTCTAGTTTTTTTTGTATGCTTATGTCACAAGTATCTTTGATATTTGTTTATTGAACCTCTTGCCTGTGGGACCTCTACGTATCTCCCCGTGACTGTTATGAACTTGACCTGGAAGCCTTGATCCTAAAGCGGTTAGCATCTAAAGTTTCTTGAAGACAATTTTTTTGAGGAAATGTAAATGCTGCTATTTCTATGCAGTATGTAAGCTCTGGAGCCCCTTCATGTTGACGCTTTTGGTGCCTACTAAAATCCTTGACGTTGGGCGCAATTTGCGGGGTGTCAGAGTAGAGGCTGGCCCAGAACCTGTATAAAAAAGACCAAGACTAGAGACACGTTTTTGATGAATCAGACCTGAGGCGTCAATCACGTGCCGCCAAAACGCCCATGTTAGAGGGATACGTTCGTGTTATTATGGGAACAAAAATAATCGCTGCCGAGACTTACGAAGACATTTGCCACTCGAGTGTTCATGCTTTTATGTTACAAAGAGGATGAAATATATGCAATGAAATTTACGCGGACAGTTGTTACCACAGCAAAGATGATACGAATACTCAATATCCTATTGTCTCTCACCCAACTTAGTCCCCCACTTTGCTACATAAGATTTCAGCCACTTCACCAAGTGACGGTCGAAGGCGGATGCGTCAATGACTCGGTGCATCACACCTCACGTTGATGGCGGAGGTGAATCACAGAGCGAAGGGTTGGCGCGAAGCGGGTGGGAAGACAGAACAGCACGTGGCGGACAACCACTGGTAGGCGGGGTCTGGAATGTGCCTCGGTTTGAGTACAACGGACCAGCGTCAGCAGCCAGAGCACCCGGTCGACGAGAAGTGAAGCCCACGAAGCCGGTAGGCAGTGGCTTCTGGACCTGGTCCCAGCGATCACTTCTGCCTGCGTAAGCTGCGTTCTACATTGCGTTCTCCAACGCTTCCTGTCTTCTTCCTGATTCGCCTTCTGCCCACGGCTTGACTTGGCTCCGACGAGACGATTCCGTCTTCTTCTTGTATCGTCGTCATCTTTGTCGGCGCACAGTACATCACAAGACACCAACGCCGCACACCAAATTAAGGTACCACGCATACTATGGCACCATGGTCATCGTCATTCTAATCTAGGAAGCGCTCTCACAAGTTTGGTCATGCAGCATTAGGTAGCCATTCAACATCCCAATACATTATTTCGCTCTTACACAGACCCTATTTTATGTGACACTTTGCTGTGCCTATAATAAACGCCTTGTAAACTGCTTAGTTTTCTTCAAACTGTAATAAAGCGGCCTAAGCTTAGGATTTAGTTGTCATGAAAGTCAAAGAATGTTGTAAGCTGCTCCAAAAATCAACAAAGTTTATATGACGTCTTAGTTGTGTGGTACCCGCAAACAATCATATAGTGTTCGACTGTACGTTCTCATGTTTTAAAAAAAAGTATTTATCCGTGTCTGTCACTACCCTCTCCTTTGTTTACAACTTGCCACATTTCCTTTTGTAGAGGCTATAACAACACACAACATAAATGGGAAATGAAAAGTAGATCCAACGGAATTCTTGCCACTGCGAGAACAATTCGTTGAACACTTTCGGCGAGTATCACTGAGGCTATGCTATTCTGTAAATATGGGGGCATATTTTGAGGGGGTGCTGTCAGCGGCCAGGAAAAGAAAGAACAAGAAGAACATATCCTGGGCGCGTCCACCTTCGGCGGAATAGGGAACAGTCAGAATGCGTTGCTCGGAAAGCAATGGTAGTATCTCCTCTGGCTGCACTCGAATACCCGCGCCCCTCCCATGCTTTTTATTGTGAAGCTTATATAAGTGAGACTTGTGCTAAAATGAGAGCGTTAGGTGTTTCACCAAACACAAGAATTGACCGTTGGCGTCGGCAGCGTGAACGTGAGGTACGCAGAAAAACTATTTCACGTCACAACGCTCCTATAACACGTAACCGCGGTGTTACAGATCGTCAAGACATTTGAGCATATCACTAGTTTGAAGGATGAATTCATCACATGACAATGTCGCCTGGTTAAAAGTGGGTGGACCAGAAAGGCATTGTAATCCCTGCAAGGATGAGAAATATTGAGATGCTGTGATGCCCTAATTCTGTAGTTTGTGCAAAGTTACATCTGTAGAGAAGGCTTCCTTTGCTTTCGAAGGAGATAATTATATTGACTGAGAAAAAAACAATGATACGCTTTTCGCCTTCAAATCACCGAACTCAACAAGAGATAGAGGCCCTGAGCAACAGTGAAGTCACCACATCCTAAGCGGAGATCACAGTCAGGACATGTTTCCACGAATAATGACTAAGAATAACTGATGAACATGTACGGAGAATGAATGTGTACTTGATAAATGCCGCCCGGCTTCTCGAGTTTCGCTCTGAGAGAGAGCCGTCATCCTGGTCACTGATTGAAGCGAAAAACATAAGTTCAGACAAATTTCTTTTTAAATGGTTGTCTTGACGGGCCAGTCGTTCTACATTTGCGACCAATTTCATGTTAGGGTTCATGATTTAAGAAAGACTTCAGCTGTGCGGCAGAGATCAACCTGTACGTGGTAACTGGCGCTAGATGCCTGCTGACAGACATTGCAGGGGCCAGTGAAGTGGAACTAAGCGCTCGTCCTGTGTCCTGTTTGAGTGTTCGGCACCAATCACCTCAACAAAATAGTGCCGCTCTTGCTATCAGCTACGTTCTCGGCTGACAGGGTCAATGACTGTCCGGCTCATGATGTCAGGCCGGAGTACACGCCCATTGGTGCAGGCTTGCGTGTATCCATAATTGAGGAGAGAATAGCGTATACGTCTGAAGTTGTAAGCAATTATAGGAGGGCGAATGAGTGTATAAACCAGATTTTTTTCACTACGGCTAAAGGACACGATGGGATGTGCTGCGACGCATTGACGTGAATCTTGCCTTCTTCACATTTCGCCCTGGTATTCATGCCGGAGAACTGGCAGCAAAAAGCAAATGTGACATCTATTATTTTTCAACAAATAATTGAATTAAACTTACAGGTGAACAAAAGGAGAAGCTAAGAAAAGAAGAGCATACCAGCTAATGAGGAGATACGCGTAGAATGACAACCATCAATTTGTGAGATGTGTATATTTGCTTGTAGGTAAACTCATTATTGGCAAAATTGCGTACAATTTTTGATGTGCTGGTTGGATGTGTGTACGTACATGGCCATCTTGACTGAAATCGCGCAATGGAATCGCCTTGTGAGCCAGTTGGTTTGTGGATGGTAACTGATGGTTATTTTACTGGTGGTGCGAGATGCCTTGAGAATTCGTTCACAAGTACTGAAAAGAATTCCTTCGCGAGAAGCACTCTGACGTAATATAGGGCTCGATGCATGAAGCTATGAACTTCTGAAGTTCAAGCGTATGGAAGGTTTTTCAAGCGTATGGAAGGTGCTTCAGCGCAGCGCGTCTGATGGTCAATGGCCTTAACTGCCCATCGTTTCCTGATCAGGCTCAGAAGGAGGGAGCCATGCAGATCAATGCCGAAGACTACAAATAGCTGGGCGCATTGAGCTTGTGTAGGGAGCTTGCGTGGGGCGCAAGGTGTGATAATTTCCTTGTGTAGACAATTCACAGCGCTCTTGTGTAGACAGAAGACGCCACTTAATTTCATGAACTAGCCAGTAAACCCGGGTAGTATTAACGATGTCTCATAGGGCTATGCATTTTTTGCATACCCAAATGATCAGCAGTCCTGCCGTAACGGTCACTCAAAGTATAGTGTGATTGGGGCTATATGGCTGTACACGACGCAGGTGACGAACTTGAATTGCGTCAGCTCTCAACAAAGACGGGTAGTGGTTGTGCGCCCAAACTGATGCTAATTTAATGCGGCAACTATTATGTTTCTGCTACACACATAACCATGCCGACGCCAAGTGGACATCCTTTCCGTTGATATTCAATGTGTAATTCCCACTGAGAGTCGGTGTTCCCTCTTACGCATTTCGTTACCCATCGGTGACTGTTTCTTTTGTCAATATTGGAAGTAATATCCTCATACACTCGTTTGTAATCTCATCTACTCTGCGATATTTTTTTCTCAGTCTGACGTGCAGCATATTTCGAATCTTCACACGTAGCATCGTGCATAATTTCTTGTCGATATCATGGCTGTTGTCTAAGTTTCAGCACCTAAGTGTGGAGCTGGAAGAAGGCGCTGGTTGTACACTGCTGTTTGGGGGCAGCGTTAAATCGCATGTCATTATTCTAGAATGTCTGTTTTCCAGAGCATCCAGACTCTTCAGCCAATTCTCTTGCTAGAGGCAAGTAGTGTTTTAGTCCACTTTTCTGCATACTTATCGTGAAATTACTACGAAAGACATTTAGTATACTGTCCTTGGTATTATTGTGTGTTAGTGTTAATCAATATTGCTTTCTCAGCGTTGAGAATGTCCAGATAACGATTGCTGTGGGCCATGCCAGTATTAGGGTTGGCCAGGTGCAAGTAAGTGTTGATTTACGCTGTACTTGGACTTTGCCTCTTTGGATGGGCATGCGACCTTCAATATGGCTTCACTGTAGGGTATTGTGTCACGCATTTTGAAAGGTGCAGGTCCAGTTAATATGTCAGATAGTAGCCAGGTTTTCTAAATGGCTCCGCCGAAAATAGTATTTGTCCACGCCGGTGTACGCATTGCTTTTCTTCACATGCGTTTTTCATCAGCAGATGAAGAAAGGCAATGAAAACTTTATAGGCTCGCTTTTTTAGTTTTGCACACAAAAATATTAGGTACTAACAATTGACTAATATTTCTGGTTTCATTATTTTGAGCAGATAGCGCAAAATACAAGGACACTAGCGAAGGACAAAGAGATGATACCAACTCTAAATTGGTGTTGGGTCTCGGCAATTTCTGGATTATTGCTCAAGAATTCATCCCACCAATATCACCCAAACTTAAGTTCTTGTAAACAAGAGTCTTGTCTTTCACTTCTACTAGCACAAGTTCTGGACATGTTTGGGTGCCTTTTAGGGTGTCTTTGTAGTGCCACGTTGATGAATCAGAGCTTTAGAACCGTGCGACGTAAAGCTTTGCGTTTGCGTTGCGCATGCGTCATATGCTCACCTCTTGCGGGTTCCCGTTGAATGACAAACAAACGCTACGCCTGCAACGCCCGCAAGGTTTGCGTAGTCTACTCTAAAGCTGCACATTGTTGACCAAAATCTCGATTTTAACGATGTTAAACTATGATGTAACCTTAAAGTAATATTCCTTGTATGACATCGAAAAAGGTTGTACGCCATGGCTGATAAGTGCAAATGGCAGGAGTGCGAGAACCACTATGCAAGTGGTGGCAAATGAAACACATCTGTTGTCAAAGAAATATGTTTCGAGGAGACTTCGTAAGACACATGAATTGGTTGACAAAAGGCACGACAGCATTGATGAACGAATGGATGGAGCTATATTGATAAGTAGGCCGACGCTATGCATGTGTAGCCTGGCGCATCAATGCTAGAAAGGGTTCAGTGAGGTCTGTGACCATCACTTTTTCAAGCTACAGACCCTGGCAAGCTTTTGGCGCTGGTGCACGTATCAATAAAGGTGGACAACATCCCTCAGAAGATAAAAAAAAAAACGTTTTCGGAGCCACCATTGTGCCTTGAATACACGTTTTACCTCTGTAATACGTGTGTTGATGGAAATGTAGATGAGCACTAAATAACTCATCGGGATAAAGTATCCGTGAGCGCGGTTCAGAGCAGTAAAATTATTTTAGGAAAATGTGTGTGAATTTCTCTTGTATTTTTTCAAATGTGCACATAATTGTGAGCCCTTACGAAGCACTGTCACAACAGTTCTATCCTCTCGAACAGTGTGGCTTGCCCCGCTTTCTAAGCTTCAGCCTCACCCCCCCCCCCCTCCCACCTGTATACGTAAGGAGCCACAGTGCTTTGAAAACAGATGGATTTCAATATGGCTCTTTACATGTTTTGCACACTGTTGCGCGAATGCGCGAAACTACATGTGCTTTTGTTTTTACTTTCTGCCCCTATTTCTCAGTCATGCGATTGCAGACCCGGTAATAATTTGCAAAAGTAAATACAAGGACAAAGAAATGAACAATACCTGTGTGAAGTAAGCACCATGCTGCATTTCGTGTGCTCCTTGATCTCAGTGAGTCTCTTGTAGATGCGTGTCCTGGCGAGCACGTCCACGCCAGCATAAGGCTCGTCCAAGAACACGACACCAGGTAAGCCAACCAAGGCGATCGCAATAGACAGCTTCCGTTTGTTTCCACCACTTACGAAGCAGGGATGAGGGGCAGGGGAAAATAGATATGGAAACAAATGTCAATGGGGCGAAAGATAAGAAACCGCTCTTCAAGAAAACCTTTGTCGCGCGCGAAACAGTTGTTCAGTTGTTTTTAAGCGCAGAACTATTCGACCAGCCAGGTCACACTCATATATATATATATATATATATATATATATATATATATATATATATATATATATATATATATATATATATATATATATATATATATATATATATATATATATATATATAAATATATATATATATATATATATATATACATATATATATATATACATATATATATATATATATATATATATATATATATATATATATATATATATATATATATATATATATATATATATATACAAAAGAGTGTTTCACACTCGTCGCTTGGCTTATAGATGGCGCTGACTGACACTCCTACTTCTAAATTCACATTTAAACCCAACAAAGTGGATACCTTCACCTTTCTGATGTCAGTGGTCTGTGTATGTTTCCGTTCACTAACGCATTCCTCCCGATCAGACGGCCCCTCCTGGCACTGGCGGTTCGGTGTGGGGCAACAAAGAGCTTTTTAGGAAGTCCTAAGCCTTTAACTACTCGGGGCCCCGTAAACCAGTCGTCGTAGAAGGAGGGGTGTTGCGTATTGTGGCAGAGGCTGGGAAGGCTGGTGAAGTGGAGAAGGGGGAGAGAGAAGAAGGGGGAGGTGGAGGGAAGAGTGGAGGGGGAAGTGGAAGGAAGAGTGGAAGGGGGCACCCGAGGGGCGTCCACCGTATATTATTTTTCTCTTCTTCTTCTCTTTTTCCTTCTTTTTCTTTCCTTTTTCTTTTTTCCTTTTTTTAATTTTTTCTTTTTTTCTTTTCTGTCTTTTTTTCCCTCTTTCCTTGCCCTCTGATTTGAGATTGTATAAAGCTGAGCCCCAACAAACTGTATCTTTAATCCTGATGAAGGCCAGACTCTAGGCCGAAACGTCTAAATAAACCACGTTGTGATCGCTCACGGAGGATCTACTGGAGTGTATGCAACGCTACGGCCACTCAACCACCATGCCTGCCTATATATATATATATATATATATATATATATATATATATATATATATATATATATATATATATATATATATATATATATATATATATATATATATATATATATATATATATATGACGCTATGATGAATGCGCGACGTGGCCTGGCTCATACACCAAGTTTATTCGAAAGCACTGCTTTCTCATCTCTTTCTCCTAACCCTACTTTACGTCACAGGATTCCCCCTCCCCCGAAAGATGGCCCTGGTTACGAAATGCAAAAAAATTGAAGGAGAGATTAAACAAAATTATGACTAAATTTACAGTTTCACGTCCTGATGGAGTTCCACAACCTCAATAAATTTTCAAGGCCGCGGGAGAAGTCTGGTGACTTCCATGACGACTCTGGTGGATGAGCTTGACTGTTGCGTTCCGCACATTGCGGGCTACACATAAATACTGACAATGCTGCTTGAACTCTTCTGTGGACTGAGTAAGGTTGGAACGCATTGTTGCATCGGCAGCTCAGATCTCGTCAGGGTTGTATTTTTCGTCGTGAATTGTGGAATCCTAGTGCTTCTTGCGTTCGTGCTTTTTGACAGACTGTGGCGAAGTGCCTGAGTGCTTGCAGTGTGCAAGCAGTGCTTCCGCGTCTTTTTCGACGTTTCTGTGGTGGTGCAGTCGATGTAATATGAGGTGCAGGGAGTGACTTTTCTTGGTGCGAAAGTGCCTGACGTCTTGAATTGTTTTTTGGTTTAGAGATATTATTTTCCGATGTTCTTCAATTGGTGAGTGCGCTTCCGTTGAATTTCGCGTTCGTCGATGCCCTAGTTGCAGTCTCTCTCGTTGTCGCGGGAGTTTTGTGAACTTGGCTTTGCTTGTTTTGCTGATGCTGCTCAGGAGATGACTACAGTGGCGCCCCTTCCGCAATCGGGCATTCATTTCCTTCAAGGTTTGACGCATCCTGTAGACAGCTTATGCATGGTGAGCTGGTGTCTTGCTTGTCGGGCATAGTTGGTAATGCATCATCATTGCTAGCATGCTCTTCAGAGGCTTCCGTGACAAGGTTCAGTACGGACGCTTCTGAAAGACATCTGCGTACGAGGTTTGACGTGTGTTGTACTTCTGAACTTGTTCAATATTTGAATTGGTGAGCTCTCTATGACGGTACCACAGGTCACGTGACATCACTAGATTTGAACTGCAGGTTTTGGCAAGTCTGCGGTGCCGTAGAAATGCCACGAAGTTCTTCAGGGGCTTCTTCTTCGCAGTTCATTGCGAGTGGTTCTTGCGCCTGGTAGCGTGCTACGTTCGGTGCGTCTAAGTCTTCTGTTTTGTTTGGACTGTCGAGGGTCTGTGCACTGAACGGTGATGCATGAAACCTTATGGAAGGAGAATGGCTTGACAGGGTATTGCCCCGATGCGCCAGGTCATCTAGCATGAGTACGGCGTCCTTATAGGGCAAGTCGGGAGCGTTAGAAGCGCTTGAAGAACCGAGTGATGAAAACCCAGGTGGTGGACCACGTGTGCCAGACGAAGAGTGAAGGGCATCAGGTGGATGAGCAACATCTCGTGTCATATGCTGAAGCGATGACTTCGAAAATGCCGACTTTCTTGCAGAAGGGAGGCCCGCTAGATCGTCGTGTTTTTCCCAAAATACGCATTGTAGTCTGTCGCTGAACTCGTGTGCCACTGCGTCTTGTGCCAGCGGTCGAATCTTGTTGTGCGTTCGAATGGTTGAAGACTGCCTGTGAAATTGACGACTGAGTGCAATTGTCTGCGGATGATGGGTTATAATCGAGTCTTCGTCATAGTTTTGACTGTATTGTAGGCATTCATTAAGCACATCATCTATCTTTACACATATTCATCATCATGAGTGGTCGTCATCTTCTTCTGCTGTGGGGATTTGGCTTGTCTGAGTTCTGTGCATTGGGCGTGGTCGCTTCATCGTGTCTTCCGGGCCTAATAAAGGTTGCCTTTCCTGTTACATCACAAGTGGTGGAGTGTGCTCTACGATCTTCCGTCCTCTCCCAGCCCGATCTGCCTCCTGGAGCTGCGCTCAGGTCGTTTGTACCAGGTGTCCGGTAACATGCCTCAGGACGAGCCAACCGGCGCTTCTGCGTCTACCTCCACGGCCCCGGCTACCACGGCCTATCCATCGTGGATTATCACCGCGCACCAGCGTGAGCCGCCCACGTTCGCCGGACTTCGAGGTGAAGATGTGGAAGATTGGTTGGACCAGTTCAATCGAGCGAGTTCCACTAACAACTGGGATGATCCTACCAAGCTTCGCCGTGTTTCTTTCTACCTCACGGGCGTAGCGAAAACATGGTTTTTCAATCATGAAACGGACATTACGGACTGGACGCGTTTTAAGCAACAGCTTCGCCAAATTTTCGGCACCCCGGCGGTTCGTTCAGCTCTCGCGAAGAAGACGCTGGATTCTCGCAAGCAACAATGCGGTGAGTCCTACACATCGTACATAGAGGATGTGCTTGCTCTCTGTCACCGTTTCAGCACGTCCATGTCTGAATCAGAGAAAGTTCGTCATCTACTGAAAGGGATAGGCACGGTTGCATTCAATGCCTTGGTCATTCAGAACCCGACTACGGTCGCTGACGTTGTTGCCACGTGCCAACGCCTGGAAGAACTTGAATCCCAACGGTTACCGCCGGACAGCTCTGAAAACACTACCACGACTGATGCCTCATTGCGTGCCATGATCCGGGCGCTTATACGGGAAGAGCTACAATCTTTCGGCCTCTCAATGACACCGAGTCCACCTCCCCCCTCCAACAATGTTTTGCGGGATGTTATCAAAGAGGAGTTGGCGTCCATGACCAGGCCAGCGTTTGTAGACACTCCAGTACCTCGACTCCAACCGACGTACGCACAAGTCCTCGCTGGCTCACCACCCGTGGTACAACCAATGCCCGCACACTCGACGCCTGTCCCGCTGGCTTCGTTAACTCCGAGTGTGACTAGCCAGCCCTTTCACCCACCGTGTCGGCCGCATCGTCCGATCTGTTATTACTGCGGCTATCGGGGCCACATTGCACGCGTCTGTCGGAAGCGTCAGCAGGACGAGCGTCGTGGACTCGACACCTACGGACGGGATGATGGGACAAGCTGGTACGCTTTCCAACGTCGTCCTTATGATCCGCCGCTACGCCGCTCACCGTCTCCAACTGCGACATCTGAGCCAACCAGTTCCTACCGCTCTACTAGACGCCGCTCACCCTCACCCCTCCGCCGTTCCACGTCTCCATTGCGACCTGTCTCGCAATTCACCAACCAACGCCCGGAAAACTAACCTCTGCAGCTTTTGGAGGAAAAGCTGCATCGAACGAAAAGACAGAAATTCCTCCAGTGCGTCCATATAATACGATAGCTGTTTTAATAGAAGGTGTGTACGTGGACGCTTTAATAGACACTGGTGCCTCTTTGTCTGTGATTGATCGTTCTTTGTGCTCACGTCTACGAAAAGTCACCACCCCTTATGATGGACCTACACTGCATGCTGCTCAAGGGGACGCCATTAGACCTGCCGCTATGTGCACCGCTCGTGTTTTCATCGCTGGTATTCTTCATTTTGTACAATTTGCTGTGCTGAATTCGTGTGCCCACCAGATTATATTAGGCTGGGATTTTCTGTCTACGGCGAACGCTTCCATTTGCTGTAAAGAAAATGTTGTTCATATGATGGAAACTGACTATGCCCTGTATGCGGATGACAAGCCCGTTCGCTTGCTCGCTGCTGAAGAGACCGAGCTACCACCTGGTCATCAGCGGATAGTTGCCATCACTTCTAATGTGATCGACTCTGGTGACGTGTTTGTGCAACCATCTGCACGCTGTCTCGCAAGAGGTATAGCCTTTGCTTCAGGTCTAGCGCGATTCCACAATGGCTCCGGACTTCTCTGCGCTAAAAACCAGACT